CGCGTTAGAACACAATAGATTGCGTTAGAACACAATAGATTGCGTTAGACCACTATAGATTGCGTTAGAACACAATAGATCGCGTTAGAACACAATAGATCACGTTAGAACACTATAGATCACGTTATAACACTATAGACATAGTGGCAAAGCAGAGAGCTTTTTAGACTCTCCCTCAAGTTCATTTTAGAGTCATATAAGTAGACCAGCAAAGTATCATGGATACCAGCATCATCATACATAAGAAATTGCTTCAAATCTTGAGTAAATGAGGAAATTAGAAATGAACTAATTCTGAAAAATCTCTGGTTTGTCACTATGACTATAGATCTCGTTAGAACACAATAGATAGCGTTCAAACACTATAGATCTCATAAGAATAGGATAGACCGCATTAGAACGCAATGATCATGTTAGAACACAATAGATCGTGTTAGAAAACAATAGATCGCATTGGAACACAATAGATTGCATTAGAACACAATAGATTGCGTTAGAACACAATAGATTGACAAGTTTTTTAAGCAGTAGCATTGGGTTGGGCCGCTTGGGCGCGCCAGACTTATGCACATTGTGATTGGCCATTGGGTGACAAATACAAGATGATTGGCCATGGACGCCGATTTAAGGTCAAGGTGGCTGATGGCAAGCTTGAAAAGACGCCAATATCTCAAGCTGAAAGGCCCTACTTTACAGCCTGGGATTGGGGGTAGGCCATGAGGGTGCAACTTGAGGCCTGAGGGCATTACATTACATTTACAATTTACATGAGTGCAAATTCTAACCAATTAGTGCAATTACCAATATTATGCAATATAGGCTAACAGCAAATCTGGAATTAGACTGCTGATTCCAGCATTATAATGCTCTAAAACATTGGTTGAAATCTTGAGTAGGTAAACAAGATTTTGATAAATTAAAAAAATAGGATTGATTCTAAAAATCCTTGGCTTGCCAGTTGCCACTGCCCAGTGCCCAGTAATGCCAATGGCACTATCATTAGTAACAGTAAGTAAGTATCTCTACTATACTATCATGTATCATCATCATGACTATGACACTAGCTACTATGTTTTGCAAAATATTTCAATAATTCTAGTTCCTTAGGCTTAAATAATGACCATAAAGAAAATAAGGGCAGTAAATAAAACTAATGATAATTAATCACCTCTTCAGCTCTTCTTGCTCTAATTATTTCATAAAGGTCTCATTGTGAAAGTGAATCGTTGGCTTATATGCCTTATAAGTTATAATTTTATATTATGAGACGACTCATGAGTTTAAATTGAGTTAGATAGGTACCCTACCTACTATCAGCTATCATTATCTAACATTCTAACCTAATCAAACATTCAAAGTGATCCCCTTCGCATAATCGCATCAGATGCAGGTGAACGCGAAGCATTGAGTAAATCATTTAGCAATGATAAGCAATAGAGTTCACCGAAATACCTTTTCCGTAACTTAACTTAGGAATAAATGGTCAGCAGAACTTGGAGACACAGGAAACGCTGGTGCCTACTCAGCCTAGTAGCAAGTGGTAACTGCCACTTCCGTTGATACAATAGTCACATAGGCTACAACAAGATGACGCTCCAAACTTCCAGGTGACACTAATCTCAAAGGAATTCACATAACAGAAGATTGTGAATGTGAAATGCGAAGCATATTGACATGCAGCGAATGCACTATGAAAATTCATAATGTTAATTAATCGTTGTCTCTAAAATTAAGTGTTGAAAGAATTGAATGAAATGTAAAGGAAATGTAGTATAAAATAGGGATTGAGTCCATGATAAGTTATGTTCTTATTTGCCAATTATAATTTTTTTAAGTATTTAAGGATTGGTAAAACTTCACTATTATTACGTAGAATTTTCAATTTATTATGATATTAGGATTTTGAATGGTGAAGGATGAAGTGCTTATGAGGGCTTATTATAACATAATGATAAACTAGACTTGCTCTTTGACGGACGTACTGTGTGCTCGTATCTAACCCAAATAAGCTTACACTCTCTACCGCGTAGCTCCAGCATAGAAGTGTCAACATCCCTCCAACGGCTCCTTGGAAAATAAATCCAAATACAGCTCAACATGATGGCAGATCCTGGTATAAACGATCACCATGATGTGAAGATTTATAGCTTACCTGGACGTAAATTTAATGATATAGATAATAAATTGCTTAGGATTATACACGAAAATTTGGTAAGTTTCATCCAATTTTTTTCATTGGTACCTACTAAAATGATGTAATTGAAATTATTATTATTTGTTTATTTTATTTTTAAATTACAATAATGTTCAAGAATTCATGAAAATAGCTGAATTTCCAAGATCTGTGCAAAGTGACATTGCTTGAGTCATTTGTAGAATAGACTTCGAATAGAATCCTTCATTGGAAATTATTTGGAATTTCATACTTCATAGTTCATAGTACTTTTTACTGGTAGCCTAGTCAGGTAAAACCGTAAAGGTATGTACTTGTTACTCATACTGGACACTGGTCAAGTGGTTAGGTACTGAAATCTGGCAACTCCAAAGTGATTGAATAATTTTTAATTCATTTGGAATCCTGCAGCCCAATTGTCAATTGTGTACCTTTGTTAACAGATAAAATCATTGGAGGTTATTCATTTGGCAGTTCTGAAGACTGAAAATGGCAGGTCCAGGCAGGAAAGCCCAGGTTGGAGCCTTGTTGTGTCCCAAAAAGTAGATTTTTCCAAACTATCAGTGAGTGGACTCATTATCCAAGATTTTAACAGATTTCTTATGTATGATAATTCTGGTATCCAAGATACTTTACTGGTCTACTTATGGGACTCAAAAATGAACTTGAGGATGAGGAAGAGTCTAAAAAACTCTCTGCTTTGCCACTATGCCCTGGAGACTGCCCCATAAAAGATTCAATCAAGACGAGATTCAGCCACCTTGTGGGGCCTTTCCTGCCAGACAGCATCATGCCTGACAGTGCCTATGGAGAAGCAAAACTCTCCCTCCGCAGGGAGATAGCCTCCCATGTTGTGGTGACTGCCATGAACAAAGCTGTCCTCACAGCCACACCACCACCGATTGCATCAGAAGAGGCCTTGCTCCCTCGCCCTTACCACATAGTAACAAAGCAGAGAATTTTTTAGACTCTCCCTCAACTTCATTTTTGAGTCCTATAAGTACACCAGTAAAGTATCATGGATACCAGCATTATCATACTTAAGAAATTGGTTTAAAATTTAAATCTTGAGTTTTTGAGGAAATTAAAAATGAACTGATTCCAAAAAAGCTCTGGTTTGCCACTATGCCTTACCACTCAGCACTATCCCAGTTCCGATTGGGATACTGCAGCTCCCTTGCATCCTACACCCACATGGTTGGACGCTCCCTTAGCGCGGCTTGCCTGGAGTGCGGGGATCCCCTCCAATCCGTCCATCATCTCATCGTCTGCCCCTCCTTCCCACATCCCTCAGCGTCTTTTCATTGTGGGACAGCCCTGTGGAGGCGGCGACCTTCCTGGCCACCCTCCCTGCTTTTGCCCATCTTCCCCTTCTTCTAGTGCCACCCCCCTCCCCCCCCGACCACCACCAGACTCTCCACCCACGCGAGCATGACGTCGGCACAAGAAAACACAACAACTCAGTCTTTTGAGCAAATCTTTAATTTTGATAAGACACTTCTGAAAATCAGAGTCCTACAGTGACTCTGATAGGAAAGAGTGTTTAAGGGCTGATTTTTGAAGAACACAGTGCATTAGCACAAATGTGTTAGTTATAAAATTAGTTACAGTTGCATACCTGGCTCTAAAGTAAGGCCTTTTAGCTCAAGAAGTAGGTGCCTTTTAATAGGTATGTGTACAAAAGTACAAAAATTTTTTTCTTCTGATCTTAATGAAAATTATACCATTTAAAAAAGGAAAAATGTAAAAATTTTCATATAAATACAAGTGTAACTGTAATACAAGTTGAAGTGAAAAAGATATGAATTTTTTCCTTTTTAGATTATGTCTCCAAAATGGACCAATTTCTGCCACTGTTTTGGAAAAACTAGCATATCTAGGTTTCCTATGAGCCAATTTCAAAGTTTTTAGTAGCATTAGAAAGCTCTTGTTGTAGGCTATCCATTCTAACTGAAATAAAACATTTTGGGTGCAACTTTAACTGCAGGAGGGTGGGAAAAGTGGGTGTGACTGATAGATTTGAAAGGGTATAAATTAACCAAATGGTAGAAGTGAGCAGAATAAAGTCTATTTTGATAATTAAATGATAAAGAAAGTGTACAAAAATGAAAAATAAATTACATACCTATACATAAATGAATATATTATAAATGAATGAATGATATGATAGGTAAATGATGGGTCTGAAAATGATGGGAAAAAATATAAAAATAGTGAGAAAATGATGGCAAAATGATGAGAAAATAATGGAAAAATGCTAGGTAAGTGATAGGAAAATGTTGGAAAAATTATGAATAAATGATGCGGAAAATGTTGGAATAATGATGGGGAAAGTAATGAAAAATGTATGGGAAAATGTTATGAAAATGATTAAAAAATTAAGGAAAATGATGAAAAAATGATGGGAAAATTATGGAAAGATGATGGCAAAATGATTGAAAATATAGGGAAAATTATGGTGATACAATGATAAAAGTGAACTGAATGTGAACTTCAGTGATACCATGCATTTCCAGAATGGTAGAAATCACTTTTGGAATAGCTGCAGAGCTCTGAAATTTTGAGAGCATGCTTTAAAAACTGTAATCCTGAGATCAAATTTTCTCTCAATAATTTCAAAATACAATATCAAGGTTTATTTTCAGCACAAATGTTTCCCCTTACACATCCCACCTAAGCAAGTAATTGATAGACATTTCTCAAAAAACAAGATGGTTTTGTCATAGTTAAAGTTTTTTAGTTTGTTTCCAAACACAAGTCAATCAAATTAAGCTAACATTTAGGCAGGATTTTCAAAATTAAATACATTTGGCGCCAATACAGAAAGTGACTGTCTGCCATTTTGCCAGCATTGTTTACATCTGAGCATAGTTTGTGCACATACCTACTTTTAAAGCTTTCATCAGCCATCTTAAACTTGAATTGGCATCCATGATAGATCACAAACTGTGAATAAAGTAGTCACTAATTAACAATGCTGCAATTGTGTGGATCTACCTCTGGTGTTGATTGCTTTCATGTCACTTGCAGCAATCTTAATGTGTATTTGACAGTTCCAACTTCCAATCATAGTGCATTGGCCATTATGATTGTCATGCCAATCATTGTATGTCTGCTGCAAGGATTGTAAGGCGCATTTGTCCATGCCAACAATCATGCACCAGGCTGCCGGCTGTAACAGACATTAGGCATGTATGTCCATGCTGATGATGACTGGATTTTTCAAGTCGTAGTTTTATGAATTTGCAAGCCATGGTTTCATGGATTTGCAAGTTGTGATTTTATTTCTTCAAGCCGTGAATTCCATATCTTTGCATCATTGGCCATAAAGAGCCATTTACAAGCAACAAACTCATTTACAAAGTCTTGTGCACTTGTTACCCAAAATCTCTCATTTTATCCTAGAAACAGTAACGCTAACATTTGTCTTTACTTTAGTGGCAACTGAACTCATGATAATGTAGCTGGACTGCTCTGATATGACTGCAACTAAGCAATCTTCAAAGAACCATTTGAGTTAACTTGTTATCATGACATTATGCAGGATATTTTGGTGGGAGCATTGAAGTACTGCTGATTGTGCTAGTTGAAAATGTTATGAAATGACAAGTTTGCAAAGTACAAATTGCAATTTTTCAATCAAATAAAAATACATGACATTTGGGCTGTGAGATTTCATACCTATTAAAATTATAGGATATTAGAGCTGCAATATTTCAGAAAGAAAGTAAGACCTTTCCCAACTAGCATCGATGCCAAACATTGTGCATTGGCCATATCAATTGAAAATGGCTATCTATGTAAAAGCATAATTGGCAACTGCCTCCTGCCTCAATCTTACCTTGGCATCTTTCGGCAATGAAATTGGAAAAACATGGAAAACACTATACAATTTACTACTAACAAAACACAAAATACTAAATGGCAGACACAACAATAACTGAACGGTACCTAGTTTAAATCAAACACTAGCGTTAGTGTCAATTCAGCCCACTTAGTGGTTTGGGTAAAGTGCTCTAATGAGTTGACCACTGAGGCCTCTCAGTATTGAAGTTTCAAGTAACTACAAGATAACAGTAAAGTGAAAAATAGAAAAATAGTTATTAACAGCGTCTGCTGCCGGATAATAAAAATGTCTCACTCAAATATTGGCCAAGGCCAACTAAGGTTTTAACAACCATAAATCAAGTGGTAACCCTCAATGAATAGGCTTCAGGTACAAGCCAAGGAGTGATTGTTGGCAAGACAGAACTTGACTGCTGGTGGAGGGATGGAGATCAATGCTGAGTGGCTTGTGGATCAAGTCACACACACTCACATACCACACCCAAGCACACCACACTCAGTCCATGCTGCACTCAGCACCATCACTCTTATCTTATGGCAGGAAGTATGCCCAAACGGTTGTAACCATCTTACCATTTCCTGGGCTGTTGGTGAGCTAATGATTATCTAGGGCCTAGAGCACACTTGGAAAGCAAATGGTATGTGGCAAGCAAATAGAAACAAATAGGTGCAAGCACAGGAATGCATTAGCGGACTAGATTACACAATACCTAAATGTTGACAATCAATGAAAGTAAAGCAATAAAAAAGCAAAGTGTTATGCAGTTCAAGAAATGAATATGCAAATCCTAATTTTGCACTTCTGGTATATAGCTGGTCAGACTAAAGTTTCAACTACCCTTGACCCAATAATCTGATTCCCTTACTGATGTATGGGGCATTCATGAGTGGATTCAAGGGATTATAAAAGACAACTGGCCCTACTAAGTGGCACTTAAGTCAGTCAATATACAAATGCTCCTAGAGACCACTAGACTGAGTCACATTAGTGTGGGCTCAAAATATCTAGGAACATCAAAAGGCTCATTAATTTCAAGTCAGTATCCAAATCAAATTTTGGTTCATAGGTGGAATGTCTTTATCTTCTTTCTTGGTGGCCAATAGTTGGTTAAGTGATCTTAGGCTCTCATCAAGAATACTGTAGCTCCACACCAACAGCTCCTAAATGTCAAATAAATGCATTCAAAAGAAC